TGAGAGACCTCCTGGGGTTTCCGGGTAAGGCTACAAAAGAATCTTACTTAAAAACCCATTATGGCTGTTCAGGTGAGAGGGGGCTGAAGATCTGAGCCAGTATAATAAAGTAGCTTCCTTGGCTTAATCCCTTGTTTATAGGGATTTATATTTTGCTCATTTAAGGTGCCCAGCAGCCAGAATGTTCATAGGATATCGGATAGGGCCATAATTTGAGGGGCACCCCCTTCAAGCAGCACATTCTTGAGGACAAAAGTTGCACTGGGCTTCACTGAATTGCGGTGGTCGTTCTGCGCAAAGTCTCAGAACTGGCTTGGGGTGGGCCTAATCAGGCTTTCAAGGTGAGCGAGAGATTGAAGGAAGAGCTTTGCCAGTTCCACACCCCCAGAGAGGTTCCCTGGCTGAGCGAGGATTCGAACCCAGGCCTCCTGAGTTCTAGTCCATTACACACCACACTGGGTTATTCGGTACACTTAAAAAAATAGTAACAGTACGAACGATGCTGTAGGGGTGACCTGTTGCATAGCACTTTGAATTGGGCAGTTCTCACATTCCTCAAGGACACGGCGGCTGTAGCAGCGAAGGGCATGCCGCCTCTCTCGACAGGAACAGCACCTTTGTTCGGCGAGCCACAGCTGGCTTCTTTGGCACCCACTTTGCCCTCACCCAATGCACAGCGAAGGCGGCGGACCTAACAAAGGAGCTCAAACGCTGGGTTTCTGCACTCGGACCAAAAGAGAGCAAGTTGCTACGTTACCAGGAAGCGAGAGAAGGAAGACTTTTGGCATAAGTAACAAGGCTGGCACCTTGCAAGGAAAGGAAAGCATGAGGCTGGGCAAGCTACTTTGCTTGCATTTCCCTTTTTTTGCACGGTTTTATGAGTACGGCTGCTGTGCAACTATAGCACAACTCAAGCCAGCCCTCGGCTCTCTGCAACCTGCCCGTTCCGCTCCTGCTCAGGTCCAACGATAGGACCAGCGCCACACATCTGCAAGGAATAGAAAGCACTGACATTCGGCCTTCCTGAGAATGTTCAGGGTTGATAGGACGGGGTTTGTGCAGACGGCTTTTTCTCTGGGCTTCAGCCACTGAGGGCAGGTGCCCCTCTTTATTTATTTATTTATTTATTTACTGGACTTGTATACCGCCCCATAGCGCTACAAGCACTCTCCAGGTGAGACGGCTTTTTCTCTGGGCTTCAGCCAGAGGGCAGGTGCCCCTCTTCCAACATCTGCACCCAGTTAGCCCCTAAAAACATCAGCACTTTACCACAGCCTTCCCAGCCAGACTCCCCCAGCCCCCCCTTTTTAAAAAGAACAGATCCAGATACAAGAGAATTTCTCCCCAGTCTCCTAAGAATGATGCAGTGGGTGGTCTTCAGAAGACTTCAGACCCCTCCTCAAAAAAGAAGCCCAGCACTTTCAATAGCATGTTGAAAACACTGATCTGTGCGCAAGCCCCCCTTTCCTACCTCTGCTCCGTTAGCCCCTAAAAACATCAGCACTTTAGCACAGCCTTCCCAGCCAGACTCCCCCAGCCCCCCTTTTTTAAAAGAACCAATCCAGATACAAGAGAATTTCTCCCCAGTCTCCTAAGAATGATGCAGTGGGTGGTCTTCAGAAGACTTCAGACCCCTCCTCAAAAAAGAAGCCCAGCACTTTCAATAGCATGTTGAAAACACTGATCTGTGCGCAAGCCCCCCTTTCCTACCTGGTTCTCCTTTTTAAAGTTTCATGCGGTCTTGCTTTTTATGCTCAGAGGGCCACAGCCCAGCCTGTCTCCCCCACCTCAAGGCCTGCTGTGCTGAAACACAACCTCCTAACCTCAGGCACCACCCGAGTGAGGAAAGGTTGCCGACTCGCTTCCCCACATCACCCACAAGGGCCGTGTGTCAAAACCTCTCACGCCACCGATGCCTACAGAAGCATCCACCACCAGCTTGCCACTCACAGAGTTTCTCTCCGTTTGCTCCTCCAGCCGAGCTTTGCCAAAAAACCCACTTTTATTTCAAAGGATTTTTATTATTATTATTATTATTTAATATTAATATTATTACTGAGGCAGTTTTTGTCCCACGTACAATTTCAGTCTTGTGATTAAACAGGACAAAAAAAAAAGAGAGAATTAAAAAAAAAATAAAAAAAAAAGAAAACAAGAGTCCAAATAAATATATCATAAAAAGCTAACCGGCAATTTTTTTAAAAAAGGCAAGGAGTGCTCTCGCTCTGGATAAATATAGCACACAGATACGTTGGAAGGATCGGGGGGGGGAATGCAAAGGGGTTGCAGGAGGTGGCAGGAAGGGAGAGAAGCTGGCCAATGTTTCAGACGTGGCTAGTGGTTGGTCAGTGAGGTGGCCCCCGACTGGGAGCAAAGGAGGAGGGTGAGTGTTTTATCTGATGTGCTCATGAGATTCAGAGGCAGCACCATCTTTAAAATCAGTGTGGTTCTTATCTTCTCCACCAACGTCTCCTCCCTACCCTGCTTTAGCTCCATTCAGCACTGTTTTTGTGTTTTCTTTTTTAAAAAAGTCTGATGGCTCATAGAAACTATCACACAGTGATAACGTGATTGTGGTTACTTCTGCGGCAGCCCTTTAGGTGGCTCATGGCTGGGTCCCCCCCACCCCACCCCGCCCTGCTCAAATCTGGTTTTCTTTTACTATACAGAATGTACAACAGTGACGAGGAACAGATAAAGGAAAAAGGTTTTGCCCCAGGAATGATAAAAAGGGGGGAAAGGGACAGGAAACAGTGTGTGCGGGGAGAGAGGGAACCAACCCAGGCTCACTTATAAAAGAATCACACAGACATCCATGGGGGAGAAACACCCACCCTTTCAAAGGCGCAGGAAGCCCCTGTAAGGGCTGCCTCAGCCATGAAGGAGCAGGATCTGGGGGGTGGCATGCCAGGCAACCGAGGTGCCCAGCGTTGGTGCAGGACACAGCTCTCAGCCAGGAGAGGCTAAGAAGAGGAGCTGATCCAGTTGGCATCCTCGGCTATCGCTGTGCCCCCCTCCCCAGTAGTGTGATAAGGTTGTAACTACAGCAGAATTAGTTGGGGGCAACGGATGACCCCCAAGGAAGGGTCTGGGGGGGAGGGAGGAAGCAGAAGTGGGCAGCCCTCAAAGGGAAGACTTCTCAAGCCAATCCATACTGGTGCTAAATGGCCTGTCTAATCAGGGTGGGCACCAGCGACTGGCCTGTTGGCCCCTATGCCTAGTTCACATCAAACCCAACCACACACACACACACACACGGGCACATACCGAAGACCTGCCCACCCAAACTGGGGGAGCAATCCACACCCACGTCCAGCCAAGCACCTTGCAAAATGGGTGCTGGTAAAAGGGCAGCCCACTGCAAGGGGAAGGAAGTCACACCACACAGAGGATGAACAATATATAAAGGACATATTAGCAACCCCCTAAATTCACAAGCGGGGGAAGGAGAGTGTCAAGTTCCCGAACCCTGGCTCTCTAAACAGCTGGTCCCAGAACTTGCCTTGGCCGAGAAAGTCAAGGCTTCTTTTCCTGCCTGAAACCCCCACCCGAAGCCCACCGCTGAGCCCCCCCCCCGCACCTGTGATAGCAGGGATCCCTTTCCTCCATACAACCAGATGCCCCCGGTCACTCTCCTTGCACCCCCTCCCAAAGCCACTTGTCTTGCCAGAAGGACGGGGACTGCACACATCACCCTGGTGGCATTTTAGGGACTGCCGGCCCTCTTCCCCCTTCTCTCAGCTTCGGTGCGGGAGCTAACAGTGAGTCCTGAAGGGAATCGATGCCTGTCCTTTCTCAGTCCCAGCTGGGAAGTGAGAAATGGTCGGCGGGTGGGATTTATTGCTGGGTTGGGCCTCCATGGCTTAAGAGACTTCTGAGAATCGATGGCTCAAAAAAAGAGAGGAGAGAGGAGAGAGGAGAGCGCCGGCCGCCCCGGCAAAAGAAGGGGAAGAGGTGCCGAGACCTGAGCGCTCCTGTGTCCTCTGCAGCTAGAAGGGGAAAAGGGCACCTGCCGATCCAGGAGAGTCTCATTCCACTTCCCTAGGAATTTCCTAAGCCCCGATGTGGACCTTTTCAAGGTCACCAGCAACCTCACTCTGCCTGGCACCCTTCCTCTCCACTGTTCACAACCCCCTTTCCCTGATCCAGCCCCCCCCCCGACTCCCTGCCCATCCCAGCTTTTAAGGACGCGTTTCCTCTTCTGCAAGCCAAAGACCAGTGGCCAAGAATCAATATGTCCTGGGTCCTGTTTGGCTTCCTTTCCCCCTCTTCCCTGTGCCTCTTCCAGAATAAGGGGGGGGGAGCAGGTTGGAGGCAGGACCACACCTTCCTGCCCCAGGCCAGGATAAACTGGAAGTGAGGTAGGGGTGAATAACATCCCAAATATTCTCCACACCCACACGGCCCCTGGCTTGTGCCTTCTCCGCTGTCCAGGTATATTGTACACATTGTTCGTGGGAAGGGACACTCAGTGCATGCGTTTGCAATCGGGGGGGGGGCGCATAAAAAGTAAGAAAGTGAAGGAAGCACAAAGGGAGCACCTGGAGGCCAAAAATCGCGCGGAAGCTGGCACAAGAGCTTGCCCGCCTGCCCAGTGGAACTGTCCAGAAGCAACGTGGAAGCTTTTGCAGCAGTGACGATGATCAGGTGCCAGGGAACGGCCTCCGGTGGGCAAGGCAGGGACGACTCGGTTTTGTCCCTTCTTCGGCTCAGGTAACGGAGCCCAGCCCGAAGAGCCTCAGGAGAGACCCGGTTTGCTGTCCGAGACCAACCCGTAGGGGCTCGATTTAAAAAGTCGCAGGCCCGACAAGGGCCAGAAGGGAAAGAGTCCAAAACGCCACGACCGAGCCGGCATGGAGATGACGCGGTCCACCAAGCGACCCAAAGCCCTTTCTGGACATCACGGACCCTCTCCTCCCTCCCCCCCCACGCCCTCCAATAATCCAGGAAAAATTCTTCCCATCCCTGAGCTGGGAAATAAAAACCAGGCGACCTTGAAATGAGTGGAAAATATTTCAGTGCTGGTGAAGGTGAACCACAAGGTCAGGGAAGCAGCTGCCTCGGCCCTCCCGGGTTTTTTTGCGCGTCCACCCGGCCACCGATGTCCAGCAGGGGTCAGTCCTGAGCTTGGCTTCTGAGAGACAGGGAGGGGAGAGGTGCCGGTGGTGGCGAAGAAAGAGAGGCGTCGTCGTTAGCACCACTGGCTGGGCCAGATCAAGGGGGGAAAACAACCACAGAACAGAGGAATCCTGGGGACACACCTACAGGGAGGAGAAATGGGGGTGGGGGAGAGAAAGAGAGCCTGTGAAACAGCCAAGTAGACGCAGTGCCCGCTCCCCACGGCTCCTTGCCCCACTCCCTTGGGGTCTGGCTTACCGAAGGGCCTCGCCCTCTTCTTATACGAAGACCTTGGCCAGGGCGTCGGCACCGGCGCTTGCAATCAGGGCCTTGCTGGGGTGGAAGGCCACGTCGTGGATGGCCTCGTCGTGCTTCTTCCGGTGTGCCGTGATTTCCTGGGTAGACGCAGCGCCCGCTCCCCACGGCTCCCTGCCCCACTCCCTTGGGGTCTGGCTTACCGAAGGGCCTCGCCCTCTTCTTATACGAAGACCTTGGCCAGGGCGTCGGCACCGGCGCTTGCAATCAGGGCCTTGCTGGGGTGGAAGGCCACGTCGTGGATGGCCTCGTCGTGCTTCTTCCGGTGTGCCGTGATTTCCTGGGTACACGTCTTGTTGTCGAGGTTCCACAGCCGGAGGGAGCAGTC